TTGATAGTTAAGACAGAAAAACCACATAAATAGCCCTGGAACTTTTTCTCCCCCAACCGATTTGGGATGGCGGACATGGCACCTGTAACACCTCTTATTGGACATCTTGGCTGAAAGAGGCGAGAATGACAGATCCGTTAAAATTGACTCTCTCTCTCACAAAATCCGACTAGCTGCGACTTCATTAGTCTGATAACGAGGAATCTTTATAAGACATTAGATACACACAGGCGTAGTAAAATCCTAGATACATGTAATGACCAAGAGTGACCAGCTAACCATCACAAGTATCGGTTCAATCTTTCTATAGCCAAAGCCAATTCTATGCCGTTGGTCTGCCTATGCGGGATCATATGTAAGCCCTTTTCATCATGCATTATATGCTATGTTTTATAGTTAAGCCAAAGAAAGAATCATAAACCTAATTTGCTTGTGGTTGACGGCATAGTGGAAAGAATAATCTGCAGTTCATTAAAAATGAAGGCTTTAGTCAATGGTTTCTTTTCTTGTATGAGTNATAGTTAAGCCAAAGAAAGAATCATAAACCTAATTTGCTTGTGGTTGACGGCATAGTGGAAAGAATAATCTGCAGTTCATTAAAAATGAAGGCTTTAGTCAATGGTTTCTTTTCTTGTATGAGTACTAGGAAAGGTAAGACTTTTTGTGTTTTCCATTTATAATGTGTCTCACTCACACCTTATACAACTTGCTTCTTTCTTTCTTTCTTTNGTACTAGGAAAGGTAAGACTTTTTGTGTTTTCCATTTATAATGTGTCTCACTCACAGCTTATACAGCTTGCTTCTTTCTTTCTTTCTTTTTTTTTTCTCAAGCTTGTTAATGAATTTGATTTCGATTGAGTTTAACCGAATTAAATCTAAATTCGATGTAAGAACTTAGGTTGAAATATAATCTAAATACTTGATGAATTTTACTATCACAGTCCATATTCAAATCAATTAAAATGAAAAATAGAATAAAATTGTGCATGCATTAATTCTAATTTGATGAATGACTCAACTAGATTTGAATTTTATCAAAGTCAACTCTCTATTTCATAATAGAATTATGGCTAATTAATAATTTATATCCTTAAAGTACGTATATAATTTTTATTTGGTCCCTCAAGTTTCAATTTAAGTAGAAATTAGGTGCATACTTCAAACACGATGAAAATATCAATTAACCATATTTAAATTCAGATTATTGACCCATCCCAAGTCTGCCTCAAAAGAAATTTTGGATTGCAGTAGGCCAATTTTCCTTACACATTTTATGAAAAGAAATAATTTATCACAATTAAGTTGAACTTGAGGACCCCAAAGAATACCGTACTTTCGTGAGCAGAAAGAACACCTACACTTGGAATACATTACTGGTGCAGTGAGACCTTGGAGCTACTAATCAAGTCCATTCTACAAATATATCAACCCCTTTAAACATGAACCTCTACTTTGACAAAGTCATTAATATGCTTATTCTTCAAGCAAAAGCCAACGCAAAGAAACCTCCCCCACTTAATTTTATACTTCCATTTTCTTGGAATATGCTCCAAATTAGTCCTCGTAAACAATAAAAGATTAAGAAAAAATAATACAATATCCAAAACTATTCTCAACTTGAGTTTAGGGATTAGGGATGATTAAAATGTACACAGTCTTACTCCAGGAATGTGGAGATTATTTTTGTATGTAGCTCGAAACTTACTACTCAAATCATAATAAATTTGATGTTTAGCGACAAATTTATTCATCGATAAAACTGATTGTTCAGCGACAAAGACCTTTGGACTATAAGTAATTCATTATTAAAAATACAAATATTTATTGCAATAAAGTGAGAATTGTCACCCAAAAAAAAACCTAAAAATATTTTGGTCACAACCTTTGGCGACGAATAAATTTCGTCGCCAAAAGTCCTTTTGTTGTTAAGTGTTGTGGAAATGATAGAAAACAAAAACGTTTCACAATTATAAACATTCAATACTCAAAAATACAAGACCAAAAATTTTATTGAATGAACTTTTATTGTATTTAAAAAGAAGAAAAGGGAAAGGCAAAATTGCAACTTTTTGCAGCCATATATGCTAAACAAGTTTAGTTCCCACTGCAAAGTGAACAATATAATTTATTATCTTCCATAATTATATGTCCCATACAGCTATATATATATATATATATATATATATAGCGTCAATACAATATAACATGATTGATCACATTCGAATCATCAAAATATAAAAAGACAGTAATGACCTATGAGGAATCTAATCAACCGCTTCAAGAAGCCTCTTAACTCTGTGACACATATATATTTCCATTGACCTATTAATATAACTCATCAGTGAGACATTATCTTGAAAGAGAATGACTTATTGAGCCATGCCTTCCAACCACTGTTCCTCTTCCGAGCATTAACCAAGTCCGACCTCGATTCTGTCATATGTGGCTGGCTCTGCTTCTTGCACAGTACAAAGTTCCTTCCCCCACCAGACCCGATCGATTCGGATGGACTAAGAGCTACAACAAAAATCACAAAAAATAAAAAAAATCCTAGAATTTTTCATATTGTTTGTATGTTATTGATAATAACTCAATGAACAAGAATAAAAATTTAATTTTGGTGCATAGTTTCGTTTACAAAACATAAACGATTTGTAAATATTTTTAAAGCTCAACATAAACAGAAAACAATAGAGTTCTGATTCTAAAACATACTAGAATAGTCCAAAACATGAAAATTTCAAAAATCTGATTCGTTTTCGTTTTCATTTGAACCAAGATCTTCTGTTCTTTGGGTTAATGAAATCCTAAAGCATGAAAATAAAACCGAAATCATGAACTTTAAAGTCAGATGAAGGATTTGTTTGGGTACCATCCGATCCAGCATTGGCAGGATAGAGAAGGAAACTATTTGCATCAGAACCAAGAACAGGAAGGCGACGTTCACGAGCATAGAGTTTTAGAGCTGAATCAATTACCCCACCAACGTTACCATCCTCATTTACCACAAACCTTATTGGACCAGCACTCCCAAGAACGTTGACAGTGATCAAAAACCGACTGTTCTTCGCTTTCTGATTCTCGTTATTCTTCTTCTGCTGCTTCTGTGACAACATTTTCTCTGAAAGGCTTCTCTTTACCTCTATATTACTGGTTTTTTTGGCGTTTTCTCTGGTACCCATTTGAGATGAAGCTATAGAGATTGATCAAGATTAAACAAAGAGGAGTTGCAAAGTTTAGAGAGAGAGAGAGAGAATTAGNTTTAAGGAAAAACGCCCTCCACTTTCTCACTTTCTTAGAGATGCCTCGTCGTCGCCTGCTCCCGAGAATCCTCAGGCTAGNAGAGATTGATCAAGATTAAACAAAGAGGAGTTGCAAAGTTTAGAGAGAGAGAGAGAAAGAATTGGGTTTATGGGTCGGGGCCGAGGCAGCGGTAATACCAGGCTTGTTTGCAAGAACCAAAGGATGAAGAAAGGAGAGGAAGGAGAAGAGAAAGAGAGAGAGTGGAGTCTGACTGTCCCGGGAAAGAGAACAGCGCGAGTTGCGCACTCGCACAAGAGGAGGACGAGAGAGAAAGCATGAAAGTACAGGCGGGTTCTACCATTCAAGCCGTGTTTTTGGTTTGGCTATGCAAATAAAAGAGAACTCTTGTACAAGAAAAGAAAGGAGAGAAAAAGAGGAGAGTGCCTTCCAGGGTTCTGCAGAGAGAGAGTCTGATTGTTTTCCTATGATGCAGGGCTGTAAGGGTTATATGAACTTATGTATATACACAGTCATGTGCATCATTGCATGCGTTAGTTTCAGGCATCCGGGGTAGGTTTGTTCATTTCATTTGTTTATCGAAATCAACTTTTGGGTATCATACTTTTACTTATTGACTAATAAAAAATATCACAGTACTTTTGCTTTCTGGCTTCCATTATTACTTTTTGGCATATAATTTTACTTACATATCATATGAAGCATCCAAGAATGTTTTAAGCGAAAAAAATGAAAGATTTAAAATAAAAAAATTATATTACATTAACACAATGCAAAAATTCTTATGAACTTAAATTAACACTATTATAAAATTATTTTGGCATATATTTCTTTGTGACGACTCTTCTTTTTAATAAGTGTTCATTTTTTCAACAACTTGTGAAATTTAAAGAATAAGTTGTCTAGCTCATATTGAACTATAAATAAAAAAAATAATAATAATAAATCAACTGAACTAAAATTGTCCAGCGAATCTATTTGTAACTGCAAGGACAATTGATTTAAATTATCTGCTGCTATAATTTCTTGGAATCTATAGAAATATTTTCACACTGCAATTAAACCAAATCAATAAAATCAAAATATCACTACTTAAAAAAATTTGATAACCGACATTTTTATCATTTCGGTATCTATTTGCACTATTTAAGTATTTAAAAAATATGAATATTGGCAAGGGGAAAGCGATGCAAATCAGAAAAAAAAAAAAAAAAAAATTTGATAGTTGGTTTAGAATTTTTTTTTTTTTGTGCAATTGGTTTCATTTATTTTTTTTATTGATCATTGATATTTTTTTATTGGTAATTAGCTTGATTTTGAATTTTTTAGTTTTTTTTTTGTACAATTGATATCACTTGTTATTTTTTATTGCTGATTAGTTTAACTTTAAATTTTTTTATTGATGATTAACTTGGCTTTGAATATCTACAACATGAGAATTGTTTTTAGTATTTAAATGTTTTTTCATCTATAAAATCATACAAATGTTTTGAGTAAATAAGTTCAATTAAGATCATCAAGACAAACAAATAATGATAAGAGATAAAGTATAAGATAACATTGTTTGTCTTGACGATTCTAATTAAACTTTTATTTTATCTCATCTATATATATATATATATATATATATATATATATAGAGAGAGAGAGAGAGAGAGAGAGAATATGAGAGATGTGAGAGTGTGTGTTTAATATATCTGTGTGAGAGAGAGAGAAAAAAAAGTTATATTGGAAACGAGAGTTTTAGAATTTTAAAAAGAATGAAGTCTAATTAGAATTATTGAATTAATAATTTTCAAACAATTTAAGCCGCGAAAAATTCAAAACAAATAAATTTAGCTATTATATTATATAGATGAATTTTTAAGAGTTACACACCTCATCAATTTTTTTTTTGTAAGACACTCATCATCACTTACTACATTTAAATTTAATATCTCTGTTTTTCCCACATAAGACAACAATTTCACTTTGTCTTCTGAATTTGAAAAGTCCCTTGTAGTTGTTTTAACTTTGACTATTTCTTTTGAATTATAAAAGAGATGTCAACCCAAAAAAATAAAAAACGAAAAAGGAAAAATTTCAGGCAAGGAGAAAAAGGCTTGAAAAAAACGAGATATAGTTTAAATGGTAATAGAGACTAACTATAAATTTAGATATCTTGAAGTTAAATTTTAACAATTTCTTAAGACCAAATCATGAGAGATAAATTCTTCATTAATACACTAATTCAAGCGTGAATAGTTTGTTTTTAACCAAATTAAAAAAGAAATTAATTAAAGTATTAATAAGCTCATTCAGACAACCTTAACCATGAAATAAAAAAAAAGTTATTTGATGGCCTAAAACAAATACTCGGTTGTCACTTCTATTACGAAGTCAATGCTGTAATAATTTCCAACGTTATGATACCACCACCCTTTTTTATTTTATTTTATAATCTCATGTTTATATTTACAGGTATTACAAAAGATAACATTTTCTTGTCAAAATGGGTTTACCCAAGTAGGTAATTAAACATATGATTAACAACAAATGGTGTCGTATTTAAGTTGTATTGTATTAAAAAAAATTTACTGCATTCTTGATCTCTTTATAGAGATGTTGTTGTGTTAAATTTCATTCATTTATAAATCGTATTTAATGAATTCGTGTCTTGCTTAACATTACATAATTTGACATGGCTACCAACAAATAAACAATGTTCATAGTCTGGTCAAAGGGAGGTGTATCAAGCCTTACGAGGTTGCAGCTTGTAAGCCTCAAACAAAGGTATAAGCTGTAATGTCGACTTCTGCTGAACTGGGATATGCTAAATCAAACGTTTCACACTAACTTTTATATTCTTTTCTTTCATGGGAAATCCTGTTGCTGAATTTGTAAGCATAGAATTTAGATACAATTCTGAGTTAGAATATGGGAAATTAGTTCAACAAATGCTCTATCAAAATACATTGAAAATGATGATGAAAATGAAGTAAACAAAAATCATATACAATGTTAGGGTATTTTGACAGAAATTTTTTACGGTGAAAATGTTCACCGTCACAAAAAAAAAAAAAAAAGTGTTTCGGAGAAACAAAAAAAAATTGTGGCAATAATGTTGTCATAAAAAGTTTATTTGTTGCCAGAAATATTATTTGAGATGGTCATTTCCTTTACGAGGACTTTTTAAAACTATTTATTATGGCGAGGCTTGCAAATACTATCAAAAAAAATAAAAAAAATTCTTCAAAACACGTTTTTTTGTGATGCTGAACAATGTCACCACAAAAAAATTGTCTCAAAAAATCCTAATTCTTAGAGTAATATTAGATTCAAACTTGCGACCCATTTTACTATTTGGAAGGACTAACACAAATACAAATGGATATTTTGGATACCACACCACCCAAATCCCATTATTATTAGTCAACTTTGAGGATTTCTAATAAATTAGTATAGTTTTTAATCTTTGATTTACAAGCTTATTTGTAAAGAAGTTATTCTCTTATTAGAGATGGTGATCTTCCATTGGATTGGAAAATTGTTTAAAACAGGTCGTAGACTTTAGTTGAGACAAGTGGTACATTAAAAAACATCTTGGTATGTAATTAATATTTGTTAATTATTTATACAGAATAATAGTAACTTAATTGAACCTAAACATCTTGGTAACCTTATACTTGTGATAATTCATCTCTGCACACGTAAAAACTTAGTTTTTGAGCGATTAAAGTAAATTAATTGAAGTACATATAAACTAATTCAAATATCTAATCTCTATAAAAAAAAAAAGAGGGGAATTACTGGTTGACTTTGGCCCCAGAAAAGACTGACTACAATATACGTCAGCCTGGTTGTTTCTCGATGGTAACATGTAGGGGAGTGCACAGTGACTATTCGACCAAATGTGAACTCCATTATTGTGGAATAAAGAATTCACAGTATGTTGCACACAAAAATCTCTCTTCCATGTGCCCTTAATATTTGTCATTTCGTCAGCGTCAATAAGCTGATTTCTGAAGGAATAAATAACAAAAATTTTAAAAAATTTATATTATAATATTTTTAATATATTGAGGATATAATATAAAAATTTTAATTTTTAAAGATATAAAATATAAAAAAAATTAAATATTTCAGAATGCAAAATGTGAGTCTCTAATCAAATTTTAAAACTTATCTTCAATTTTTACCAAATTAAAATTTGAAACTCAAATTGAGCCTATTAATTCAGCCCATTAAATTAAAATGTCCTAAAATTTTAATTTTTAAAAAAAAAAACTAACAATAAAATTAAATTATTGAAAAATGAAGAGTTAAACACTAAAAAAAATCATGTTCAAACTTATCATCATAATTTTTTAATCATTTTCTCTCTCTTTATAAAGTTCAAATATGATAACAAAAGTTTGAATATAAAATTTTAATTAACATTTTTATCTTTTACAAAATTAAAAATTAAATTTATTATTAATATTAAAAATAAAAAAACCTCACCCTGAGAAGAATTGCTTAATGTTTGACGGAGCTTTACTAGTTTTATTAAACTTTGAGACTAAATATATGGGTCAAATGATAAATATACCACATTATTTAGACCATTTCAAATTTGGGTTAATCTCATTTTACACTCCGAAAGATCGTTCGAATCTCAATTTACATCCCCAAAGATCAAAAATCTCAATTTGCACCCTCAAAGATAGAAATTCGTATCAATATACACCCCCAAAGATAAAAAATCTCAATTTACACCCTCAAAAATAAAAATCTGTATCAATGTGCACCTAAAACTAAATTAATAAATTATACCTAGATCCCCTCATTTTGTCACTTAATCATTTGAACCCCTTTACATTTAGAATATTACTCATA